TAGACTTGCAATTAGTTCTCTGTGGTATCTAAGTGGCTAAAAAGAAATGCAAATGTTTTTATTAATTATACCAATAACTTTTATATTGAAAATAATAATTTCCATAAATTACCTTCAAATTCTTAAAAATGCAATAATATTTTTAGAAAAGATTATTTCTTTCCATTCAAAATAAAAAGAAAATTATATTGAGTATCCTGCCCTGCCTCTTGTTCTTGTTGTTCATTTACGTCGCACTAGAGCTGCACAATGGGCTATTGGCGACGGTCTGGGAAACATCCTTGAGGATGATCCGAAGACATGCCATCACAATTTCGATCCTCTGCAGAGGGGAGCCTGCCTCTTGTATGAGGCAAAATGGGGTAATAAGAAAGCTTAAATAAAAAAAGAAGAAAAAAAAAGAACTTATAAACTTAGAGGAAATAAAGAAAAATATGTTTGCCTTATATTTATATAGTTTTAGGAGATAAAGAATCGAATCCTGAAGACCATGCAAGATAGTACGGGTAAGATATTACCAATGTCTAATGGCCGTACATTTATTTTAAACTATATTTCAACTATAAACATTTTTTTTCTTTCAGCAATCACTTAAATTCTAAAAGGAAATCTTAGTTTTTTTTTAAAATTTTGCCGATATATTTAAATTGTTATGTTACGTAATTATAAGGAAATTGATGGTGTTTTAATTTGTTTTCAAAAACAAAAATTAGTTCATATCTTTTCAAATTTTTAAACCTGTTCTATCAAAATGCAGTTTCTATTTTTCATTCCTATTTTTAATTAAAAGAAATGAAGAAAAAAATGTCTTGTTTGATTACTGTAACACAGATACATTGGTATTGAGGGGTTATTACAAATATTATTATTTAACTTTGAAAACTACTGATGCTTAGATTTGTTTTTTCCTTCCCTTAAAAATAAAGTAAAGCTAAAACATAAAAATAAAAGAAAAAGAAAAGCATTTTTTCCTCCAAAATTTGAAGCGCATATGGTATATTGTACAACGTAATTATGATCTATTACACACTATGTATTTCATTGTTTGATTTAAATAAAAGCAAACTTATAAGCTTATAATTCGAAGCACGAGGCACATTACTTTTAACCTAAGAATACCCACCCGACTACATTCTATTCGGATAAACGATAAATAACCTGTTGTACAATAAGCAAAAGACACAATTTGTCGTTAAAAACTAACATTAAACTAGTATATTTCAATAAAGAAATTAAAAATAAATTTTTTACCCAGTGTATAAAGGAGTAGCAGTGCTCCATAAAGGAATTCTTTGTATTATTTTATAAGGAAAAAAATTGAATTTTTTCGTAAATTGTTATAGGAATTTTTTACTGTAATTTATTTTTATATTTAAAAATAGTAGGAACCACCATTGTTTTTCATTGTTCAATTCTACTTTACATTTTGTTTAGCTGCTCAAAACAAAAGAATTCTAAACTTTTAAATATGAAGATATACAGTAAAATGTACAAAGAGTTCTTTGGAATAAAAATTTTAACTTAAAATTTAATATTATTGGATTCAAAATTAAATAAAAGATCTAATAATTATGAAATATCAAGTACATTAACTGAAATTTGGAATTTGAAGTATATTATGAAATTTTAATTAATACATATTCTTTGCATGATAAATATTAACAAAATTTTATAAGCATAAGAATTATTTGTACAAGAACAAAATGCAACGATACAGCATCAAACTCAAGTTAAAATTTCACAGGTACAAAGTTAAACAGTGCAAGAAACTATGTTTGACGAAAATTTGAGAGAGAAGGAAAAAACAATGAGAGTATAAGGAATTTGCAATATTAAATAATTAGTTCAAATTTGTTTGTAAAATTTATAGTAAATAGAACCCAAATCGCACTGCAGCCCACAGAATTGCAACTTTAGAGTGGAAATTTCATATACTTGATGGGTCATTTTCATTTGTATATTTAACCTTATTTTTTTAAATTCTAATTTATTAGAAAGTTATTAAAATTTTAATTGCATTTTTTACGATTTTTTCTCACTTTTTGCCTTGAACAGTTTATATCCTTTGTTGCGTAGAGAAGTAGAAATCTCTTGAGATTTTTATTTTATGTAATAAGATTACTCTTCTTAGTTGAAGTGAAAAGTAGATAAAGAAATGGACTGCTTTAAAATTGCTAACCACAATTTTTATTCTTAAGCTTATTTAACCAAAAAGAAAAAAAAGAAAGAAAAAAGAAAGAGTGTTTCTAGTAACATAAGAGTCAGAAATTTCGCTCCGACTGACTATGATGTTACGAGTGAATGTGATGATAGGAGTATTATAAAAATAAGATTTTTTTTTATTTTCGTAAGTAAATTATGACAAAAAAATAAAGTAAGAATCAGAATTAAGCATGCATTCTTTTTAACCTATATGAAGGGGGAAAAAGATAAAAAAAAAAAAAAAAGGAAAAAAAAAAAACAAGGAATAGAGAGCGGAAAGTCGCTAAAAACTGTAGACCTACTCCAACTATTATTTTCTAGAACACCTAAACGTTTTAAAAACACCTAAAAATTAAAAAAAGTGTAAATCAAATGAGACAGTAATTAAAAAAAAACCAGTTGATTTATAGACGAAATACAGTTGTCGAAAAATACCGAAATTTGCGCAACCATTAAAGAAAAAATTTAGTTTGACTGAAGTTCCAATCTCCAGAGTCAGTTAGTTAGAATGACAAAGTTTTGTAGTCGTTGGAAAAATTTTCATTGTTTGCCACTTCTTGTAACGGGAAGATGCTGCTTAACTTCCCTAATGTTGTCATCGATAGGGAGTTTGTCTTAATATGCGTCTTTATAATTGGATTCAAAATTACCTAAAAGATCTAATAACTATGAAATATCAAGTACATTAAATGAAATTCGGAATTTGAAGTATATTACGAAATTTTAATGAATGAATATTCTTTGCGTGATAAATATTAGCAAAATTTTTCAAGCATAAGAATTATTCGTACAAGAGCAAAATGCAACGATATTGCATCAAACTCAAGTTAAAATTTCACATGTACAAGGTTAAACAGTGCAAAAAACTATGTTTGACGAAAATTTGAGAGAGAAGGAAAAAACAATGAGAGTATAAGGAATTTGCAATATCTATATGTAATAAGCTTTCCGAATGAATTGAAAATCATCGATGAAAATATCTATTTATTTGCTTCCTGTAAATATTTTCTAAATATTCCAATGGTGGTTGTAAAAATTATGCAGATTAATTACAATTGTTTTTGTGAGAATGTTTGTCTTGAGGTAAATTTGTTTACGATATTTCAGATTAAATTAATTATTAAAAGTTCGTCAAGAAATATAAGCTACTATAAAAATTAAAAAAAAAATAGTGGTAAAAAAGTTCTAGTATATTTTGTCGTAAAATGAAGGATGGCGGTTGTGAGCTGTTTATTAGCTGAAGATGATTACGCTAGATAATTTATGCAAAAATACATATGAAATTGAACGCTGTCTAAAATTAAATTCTGGCTACGGCTCAGGATTATAGATCTTCACACTTTAAAAAGGCTGAAAAAATAAATAAATAAAATTAAATACCAACTGCAATAAACTTTTACGCTATACATTTAGAATATACAGCAGATAAAATGGCAAACAAAATCTTTTTAATTAATTATAAATTATTTCCAACCATTTCCATAAAAACTTGGTCTACAGCAATAAAATACTGTAAGAAACTACATTTTGACTCTTAATCACTTCTCGATCGGCGACGCATATCATACATTCAGTGTTTGTGTGCTCGTTTGGTAAGCGGCCTAATATATGCTAAATAATTAATGCAGACGATATTTCAAGTTACAGAATCAGACACAAAAACGTACTTTCTTTGAATAAACATACCCCTTTTGCGACGCATTTGCATTAATGACCCAAACCAATCTGCAGCCCGTTGTGAGCCAGGGGGTCACAACGGGCTGCTGCGGAAGCCTAAGACTCCACATGAAGCCTAAGACTCCACAATTTCATGACCAGCGCCCTTATTGTGGCAATGTGGTCAGCATTGTGCACAGGCCTCCTTTACTTCCTAGGCAAACTGGTACCCTTCGATCTGAAGCTGGATGGGCTTCAACCCGCCCTGGGGATCGAACTCCAGTTCGTCATACAGACAGTTCAGTGTCTTAACCAGTGAGCCATCACTGCTGTCAAGTCTGAGAAAGATGGTCCTAATTGTTAGGACAGGAGAGCGGTAATAAGTTTGAACTCTTTAATGTCAATTTTATTTTTTTGCGTATTTCGTCATATCTCGAGAACTTCTTAAGCGAATTATAAAATTTTTGCAAACAGTTATAAAATTCGTTTATCTATAGATAATTCAATGGATTATCTATAGATAAACTATAGATAATTGTGATAATTCACAATATCTTCACAATTTATTATTTTTTATTATTTTATTTAATAACAGTCGAAAAAATTTTAAATTGATAAAATTTTTTCATTGATAAAATTTTATCAATGAATTTAAATTGATAAAATTTCTTCGAAGTATAAAAGTTTTTACATCATTTTAATGAATGTAATTTCATAAGGCAAAATACAAAATTTCAGTGAAATATGCCTTGAAAAAGCGAATTTTAAGAAAGTCGTATATTTAAAATCTGACCCCTTTAAACCATTAAGATTAAATCCTAGATGGTTCGATTATTAGATCAAATTTCCTTCAGAGTAGTCCGTTTATTTTTTTGAGCACTGTATATATATTGATGTAAAAAAAAGAAGAATAAAATGTTAATTGTTTAATTACAGTGACAATTAGTAGTGAGTACTGAAATTTTCCCCCCACATTTTGAAAACTGTCTGCCTGTTTAGACAAGCAGCATTAGACGTTCATTTACCTTTGCAGGCTATGACACTTTACGCAATGTCAGTGATTTCTGCCAAGAATCTTTTTTTCGAAACCGCGAAGAAACATCCCATCCTTCTCTTCCTCAGAAACTCCTCAAGTGCATCCTTGATCTTCATCTTCTCGGGATTCTTGAACGCAGAGCACGTACCCGAACGATGCCTACTATAATGATGACCACGATGCCGGCGGTTACGCAGCAAAAACAATGCTGCTCGCTGCATACTGATTTCCTGTCCAGACAAACTGGACTGTGTAAGCTTGCGGAAATTGTGAGTAAAGCTAAGCATGAGTCAGTAATATTCCTTTTCCCTTTCTTTTCTTTTCTATAAAAGAGTAGTTTGAAATATACAGCCTTTGAAAGTATTTTTTTTTTAAAACTTTTATTCTACAACTATCAACTAGCTTCTTTGAGAGGCCCCTACCCCCTCCACATTAGGTTTTTAAGTCAAATTATTAATTTGTGTTTTCTTGATATTTTTTTGTACTTAACAAACTTTTGATGATATAGTATTATCAGATAGTACTATATCTTACAAAAAAACCAGAAAATGAAGAGGGTCGCTTTATTTGCCTACAAAAAATAGCGCTGTGCTCGCTCGAAGCATTTATAGAAGGGCGACCCGCCTTGCTTGCCCTTTGATACCAATTAATATGCCCCCTTGGCCATTTTTGTAAAAATAAGCCACCATACCTTAAAAATACTGCATTTCATTCATGTTCCATTTTAAAAAAGATTAATTGACTGTTTAAATAATAATTTCACCCAGGTAAAATTATCTATGTTAATAGGTTTAATTCTGATTATTATTACAAATATTTACCTTGTTAGGATTATTCTCAACTAGTCAAATGCTTACAAGTATATATTTTATTTGGGAGACAATATAAAATACATTTTTTAAGTAGTTTAATTTAATTCAAAATTATTTTTTAAATAAAAAATTTTTTTTAAAATAAAAAATGTACCTTTAAATATTAATTTTCTCATAATTCTCAGTTTAAATTATGGAGAAAAGCTCTCAAGTTGTGTATCAATTTTTCTTTCTCTAGTTTACTTTTTTCGAAGAAAAATTATACACAGATATTGTATTTTAGCATGCCTTTAATCATTTTTCTAAACTACAAATTTTTCTTCTATTCTGATAACCAGAGAGAATTACTTTTAAACATACACAAAAAATATAGTATTAGAAGGTAATTCAGAAACTGTTGGGGATAAAATTCAATAACATAATATTACAAATTTTGATAAAATTTTATGGTGTTGAGTGAGTGCCCTTTTAAAACTCAAAGTACCCTTTTATGAGAGGTAGTACACTGCCTTTTTTTATTCCTAGGGCAAACTCTGACAGTGTTTTGTAACTTTTAAAATTCTATGAATTTTTCCACAAAACTATAGAATAGAATGACGTGATTTTTATTTTGAGGAAATATTTTTAAACTGCACGTTTTCAGTTTTCAGATTTTTAAAATATAATTTTACTGTAATTTATTTTTATTGCAGAAGCAATTTTTGAAGCGTGGGATATTATTGAAAAATGAGGATTAATAATGCTTCAAGTTTAAGAAAAAAAATAATATGGAACGAAATTTCTTAAAGCTAAAAAAATCAACGTAATATTTTTTAAATATTTTTTCATTCTTCGATAAAAAATCTGGAAGCAATTCCATTTGCTTATGTTTAGTTTTTTGTGTAGTAAAGTTTTGCTTAAGTTTTTTGTATTCGGATATAGCAACAACTGGATATAACGAGCATTTTTCTGTTTCTCAAGTCTCTAGTAATATCCGGGTCCTGGTTCTACTGTAATTAAGTAATTAAGAATAAGCAATTGTAATTGTAATTGAGAATTGAAATTAACAATAAACAGTGTAAAAAAGTTAATTAAATGTTATTATTTTTTTTAAAATCGTGACAAATTTATAAAAAGTTTTTAAATTGTTTTTCAATTTAAAACTTTTCTATTTTATTTAATATATTTTATTTGAGATTTTTAAGTATGTGAAAATAAAACAACATAACCACATCTCATAATGGTGCAGTTATTTATGTAAAACTTCATTGAAGTGGACAAAAAGATCCTTAAAAGATATTTTCATGAGCATATTTTCCACGTTATGATTTAGAATCTGGGGTAAATATTTTATTAAGCCAAATGTAGTAAATTAATTTAGTTTAGTATACATATATAATATACAGGATGAACAAAAATTATTATTCCAAATTTGGTGCTCAATTGCAGGAGTTAGCAAAAATTTCTCCAGTATAGTTCAAGTTCAATAAAATACTTGTTCAGGCTTTTTAGGAGTGATTTTTGTTTTCACCTAACTTCGACAAAGAAAAGCGTAAGTTCATGCCTAGAAATCACTGAATAGCTCATGAGTTATTCAGTATAACTCTGAATAACACTTTTTTTAATTCAAATTTTTGCATTTAAGACAAATATTTAAAATTATTATTGCATGTTATTAAGTAATATTAATTTCTATTAAGAAGTGTACAAACATATCTATTTCATTTTTATTAGATATTATTGAGTGTCAAAGTTCGAAAGTTCGATCTTTTTTACCCATTCTTAATGTGAAATAAAATGGTAAATAGCAATTGGAGAAGTATGAAATTAATTTTCCAAATTTTTGACATGAAACTCTGATTCTCTTCGTAATGCTTAAGATTTTTCCTGATACAAGCAACTAGGAATCAACAAAATTAAAAAAAAATTCCAAAAAAGTGTAACTAAACATTTATTATGATTAGTTAAGGAAATTATGAAGAAAAAAATTTCAAAGAATACGAATGCTTTGTATTTGTCTTGGAGTTTTTTTTTTCCATGAGGAAATCTTAAGCTTTTTATGCACTTGAGATTTGGAATTACCAGATTTCACCTTGCTTTTATTTTCCAAATTTGCTCCCGGATTTTATTGGTCACAGTACAGACGTAAAAAAATATTATAAGTAGTAAACGGATCACAGAATCTCCTTTCCGTCGAACTAACCTTATAAGGTTTTCGTAGTTTTTATCTCCATGTAACGCAAATGCGGATTAGTTCCATCAAAAATCTTCTAGGTAGGCTAGTTTGTCCCAATCCATGATCCAGGGTTCTTATTGTCTTCTAGGTTTGGTTCAAATTACAACGCTACGGAGTTGAACATTGGCAATCCTGAACCAAAAATGAGTCTGGTGTTCAACACCGCTTATAAAATCAAATCATATTAAAACCAGTGTGGCACACTAGCATACTCAAAAATAATATATAGGATACATATAAGAAAATTTGATACATTTTAAAATTTTCTAGTTTACTGATCCTCACAAAAATTTGTGTACGATAGAAAGAAGAATGGAAAGTAAAACAAATTTGAATAAAAAAATTCTGAATGCGTTTTTAAATTAACTTATCTGTATTATTTATATGTTTCCTAATTGTGTAATGATAAAAATAGATGTTTTTTTAAATATTCTTTATCTCGCATTTTCTATAACGTTTATTCGTTCTATTGTCATTGTTGATGTAACTGTCAGAACTGATTTGAAAACGTGTTTTTAACTCAGTACTAAAGTGTACTAAAAGCACAAATGGTGTATAAGGTGAGTTTTTTTTTCTCCAAAATTCATGTAAATTTAAAAGTTAACAACTTACAACTATTACAACTTAAATATATATATATATATATATATNTGTATATATATATATATATAATTTCAAGCTTTTTTTTTTCCGCGTAGGTGCAGTATTAAAGATCTACTTTAAATTCTCATGTCTTGCACCCTTTTTACGAATTTTATTTAGTGAATTTTAGAATGGTAATTTTTTTCTATTAATTAAAAAGTGATTTGAATTTTTTTTTCAATTTTATTATATATTTTTTAAGTTATTGAGGAGAAAATATAAGACAAAATGATTAATTTTTTATGAAAAATATCCATATCTCCATAAATATTTAAGATAGGTTTACAAATTTTATGCAATTTTTGCAAAATAACAAACAAATAAGCCGATGCAAGTTACAAGCTTATTGCTTTATTTTCTGACATCGGTTTTTCAAACATAGTTGTGTTCGTTCGTAATTTATTATCATTCTCTCAAACCTAAGAAAGCTTTAAACTTTATTGCTAAGTATGAGAAATTACATGATCCTAAACACCCCTGAAGTTTCCATTATTGCAATTTTAAACTTTTTATCTAGCCGAGTGAGTGGTGAAGCAAGTAAGTTTGGGAACCTAGGTTCCGAAAAGCTCTGAATATCTCTTTTTTTCTTATCTCTTCTTTCTAAAAAACCAAAGACTTATATTTTTACATGAACTGAAGTAAGTGTAAACGTATTTTTTAAAATAAGCAATATCATATAATATTATGTAAGACTCACGCCACAAAGATGGCTCTTAGCCAATCCAAATAAAATGAAATATTTTTCTAATATTGAAATACGAATTTATAATTCGTTCTAAATACACGAAAATACGCAGTAAGTCTGTTCATTAATTTAATTTACAATAAAAAATTTTCAGAATCATTTCCCTTTCGTTGAAATGTTATAAAAGTGCGAGGAAATTTCTCGAGGGGTTTCTTATGAGACCTATCTTTCCATCATTAGCCCACATCCAACCAATATCAATAAAATGATAGATTTTTGTACTCAATTTAAAATTATTATTGTTTTCACTAAATAAGCGAACACAAAGTACATAGACACAAATAAAATTCAAATCCTAATTAAAAAGCAATTTACATTTCTTTTTAAACACATTGAAAATCCACGCACATCTACCTGGGTAGCTCATCAATGCCTATCTACTGGTCTTGTAGATGGGTATAGCCCATATTGCATGTCACCGGCATCGAAGCCATGAGGGTCAGGACCCCCCCCCCCTCCAATAATTGGGAAGCCAGGGCCCATTTTTTTGAGAAAATATATATCTGTTTTGTTTCCATAACTTTTACTTTTTTTTTTTCTCTCTCTCTCTCTCTTTCTACATAGTGCAACTTATTATTCTTGTAGTGCATCTTGACGTTAGATACACTACAAGAGTACGTTGAAAGGAAACCCCGTTTTGGCTAATCCTCCCTCGGTCAACATACGAATTATTCTTGCAAATAAAATAAACACGTAGTGACATAATTAGCACTAATAAAATAGTTAAGTGAGATTCAGTTTTCTATGTTATAAATACGAAAAATTTTATGTGTAGTAACAGAGCACTGCACTCATTGAAAAAGAAAACGTTGGATCCCAAAACCGATACCAGCTCTTCTTTGTTTTCAAGCAAATTTGCAACAACATTGATACGGTTGTACCATTAACCTTTAATTTAACCATTTTACCATTCAAATTCAACCATTGAATCATGCAAATCAATTTTAACAACAAAGCTCAAACTATCACCGGACTAAGATAGCAACAAATTCACAAAATATTGTGAGCATGCTAAGAAATGTATGACTGTGTGCGGTTTCTCAGTCTCGAAGTTAAAGATGATAAAACTAGCCTGTCAACATTCTGTTCCTATTTATTACTTTGCTGCTTGTTTTGTTTATTCTAACGCAAAGCAAAACTTCCCTCTTCTTCTTCTACTAGCTCTAAAGCCAGCTGCTGGCCTTGATTGACTCAGGTAGCTTACTCGATTTCAATCTGTCCAACACCAGTACTTTGCATCTATTTATTCATAAATTATCGTTAAGTTTAAACTTTTTTTTCCAATAATAGCAAAAATTGCAAATTTTTCTTTCGTATTGGATAAGAAATGTTTTTAACAATTGAAAACCAAGGAGGATGAACGGCTTATGTTCATTTTTCTGATAAATGACTATTAGATCGCTATCTGATGCATTTTGAGGATTACTAATCGTGATAGCTCAATGGTTAGACTCCAGTCGGGATGGGCTGTGTTTGATTTTCGATTTCTCTAAGACCCAACGAGTGCATACGATATATGTGCTCATAAAATCTGTGGAATCGAAAGACCTGTAGTTGGTCTCTGAACGGTACCATGAATACAGGGATCTGTGGAAAATTTTCTTCCCCTACAGATCTATGTCTAAATTGAGGAAGTGCCCTCATAATGGGTGGAGCTACCATCTATCCGTGAGGTTCTGAATCAAGCCGTACTTGCAACCTTGCGGTGCTCTTTTGTCAAACGTAATGCGTACATTCCTGACTTAATTCGCAAGGCCAATGGCTGGCGTGCTTGGATAGTGCAAGTATCATCAGAAACAACAACAAATTTTAACATATCAATAATTCATATTTTCAAAATCATATCTTTAACATCGGTTCTCTCCGAGAGTTATTACAAAGTGAGGGTAAGTAGTTCTGAGGTTCCTGTAAGCTCGCTTCCTTCGTTTTTTCTTACAATCTGCTTTCATGAATATAAACTGTTCTTCCCTCTTAATCTGCAATCATTTTTTCTCTTATGCTTGTTATTTTTTTAAACAAATATTCATAAAAATTATTATTTTATACTATTTTTAGATTTTTGGTGGGATATGCGTCGGACTCATGATTACTTTTGGCACGCCAGTCTGGATGACTTTAGGCATTGCTTATCCTATTTTTCTAGTCAATGCTTCTGCTTCGCTGATATCTACATCAGTTAGTCTCTTCTGCTATATTACGTCTGAATACACCTACAGAGCTGTCAGGACAACCGTTCTGGTAAAATTTGGACCAAACTCTCTTAATATAAGTTAAATAGACACTAATTTAAAAACTTCTGAAAATACGACTTTTCACTGGTTGTCCCAAAAGTGACCAGCGATTTTTAAAAAAATTCAATTAAAAAAATTAATAAAAACGGAAGTACATAGAAATGCACGGTTTGCTCAAGAAATTTATTGCAGGAAGCTTGAAATTAGTTTCACAATTCCTCAACAGACATTCGTTACTGACCAACAAACTCTTTAAATTGTTTTATCCTGCGACTATTTCAACTGAAATACGAGCATTTACTAGTTTTGTCATCAGACTGCATAAAGTTGTTCCTGCAGATAATGGTTATTCAGCAAACATTGTTTTACAGTTTTTATCAATTAGTAACGCCATCTGTTGTTGACGATTTTGTAACTTGCTTGCAATAAGTGCTTCGTTTCTTAAGCATAAGGTGTCAAATCATGCATTTCTAATTCTTTTAAATTTTTTTAAAATTGATTTATCATATCCTTGAATTTTTTGGAACACTCAGTATTGTCTAGACTTATGAAATAGTTTAGTTTCCTAATAAATAGCTTAACAATGTTATTTTTATTCATTTTTCTTTCAGATACTGTATTTCATTGCACTATTACGATGTAAAAATTGTTATTCTACGGTACAATAAAAAGTAAACTTTATCTTAATTTCGTAATCTAAGATAATTGTAACAAAGAACCTTCTATTGACTAACCGACAGGAACTCCTATTATCTCCATTAATCTACAAATTCATTTTATTTTATATATTTAAAATATTAGGAATTCTGAAAAAATATTAGGGAAAAAGCATAATTTGATCGAAAAAGTAAGCAGAATATTTCATCTTAAAATATTTTATTTTAGCAGTTGGTCATACAAACATTTAAAGTTAAACCAAAAAAATAACAAGTATTTATGTTTGAAATTAATAATCCAAATAAACATTTCTTGAAAATTATCCTATAGAATATATGTTTTAGTATTGGGCTCAGATAGAAGGCTTGTCAGAAATGCCGAAAATATCTGATCGTATTTAATAGAGACTAAAAATATTAAGTGTAACAATTTTTATCTCCCTAATTTCAGGAAGTCTATCAGAATGCAGTGGCAGCCATTTTGTATGCAGTGGGTTCTTCATTTCTAATTATGCAAACTTCATTCTTTTTATGGCCTATGTACATCATTATTCCATACTTTCAAGCTTATCCAGCACTCATGACTGCAGGAGTAAGATATTTTATTATGCATATTTATTCCTTAAAATATTTATTCTTAAAATGAAGAACTTATAACGAAAAGAACATGTTTAAAATCGTTTTAACATGAGCTAATTTTCAAGATTTGCGTAGATTATAGTCTGATCCTATGTTTATAGTAGAACAATAATTTAATCTGATTGAGTTTTTAAATAAGACGGTTTTATTTAAAAATATGTTTTATAAACAGCTTCATTATGTTTTGTTAGTTCTAAAGTAATGGCATTGGAAATAAGTGCAAAAATGAAAATAAATAAATAAATAAAAAATAAATAGATAAAAAAATATTTTGAGGCAAATTTTTAATTAGAATCCAATCTAATAGAGTAAAATTTGGTTTAAAAGTTAACGAAACCCGGACGTCGGGTTACAGATTAGGCTTATTTTTAAAAACATTTAGTGAAGACTAAAGTATTGTGACTGTTTATTAATTCCTTTCACATACTTATTTGTTAGCAAATACGAAAGAAAAAAATGCGAATAAAAAAGTTGTATTTGTCAATTTATAAGTATGTAAATTTTTTTATTTATTTCTTGCAAATTCACCCGTTCAGTTTTTTCAATCTTTTCTTTCTCTATTCATTCGCTTTCTTTTGAAAAAAAATTTAATAAAATTTATAGTTACCATTGTGGCATCAAACCAATAATAATATGATCTAAAATTAAAAGTTGACAATAAAAACAAACACGCAGAGGGAAAAACAGACAAGCGCCAAATGGTTGTCATAGTAGCTGAAAATATTAAACGCATCGCAATATTATAAAACACCTGTTATTAGGTGATTTTCGCTTAAATCAAAATTCTTTCTCTCTATATTTATAAAGATATAATTTATAAACTTAACGATAAATAAAAAAAAATTACTTACATTGCAAATCTTCTAAAAGAATCATTCTAAAAATTTGAATTCACTTTATCAATATTCCAAAGTTACGTGAGCTTTTAAAGAGATGATTTCGTTCAATTTTGTATTTTGCCATTTAAAATTGCTTTCCTTAAAGTGGCATAAAATTTTTTATACCTTACTATTCAAAAGTTTTACGACTATTATTTAATATAAAGTAGTAATAAATTATAAATATTTACTAAAAGATATATTTAGAATGGAATTATTTTTGGATAAACGAATTTTATAATAGTGTGCAAAAAGTTTTCAATTCGCTAAAAAAGTTTTCGAAGTATGGTGCAACGAAAAAAATAAATTAACATTGAGGGGTCTGAACTTTGACCGTTCTCGTAATCAAACAATTGGGACAATATTTCCCAGATTTGCGGCAATCTGGAGGGTAAAAACACAAATTCGTTGGCAAAAAGGTATGTTAATTCAAATAAATTGAGTTTTCGCGTTTGATTTCATAAGTTAAAATATCCTCTGCACTAATTAATTAGCAAGGACGCCGGCAGGGGGTGCAAGGAGGTGCACTTGCACCCCCCTGGCTTTTTTTTTTTTTTAAACACTTAAAGAGATACAGAAAAACAATTTTGCTATAAAATTTTTTTATTCAAAATATTTTCACTCAAAAACAAATTATTAAGTAATTATTGATACATAACAATTAAAATTTTTTTTAATCAAACAAGAATTGAAATCGTCTTGTTTGCTGTCTAAATCTGTTCATAACTTTTTCAATGAATGATCTGGAGCTGCACTTACGTTTGCACTAGTACCAAGATTAGTCTTTTAAATAAAATCTGGAAATCTTTAAATAAAATATTCTTTGCTTATACTAGGGTTTAGACTAGAATTGTCAGCTTTACGTTTTTTTCAAAAATAACTTCTGATATCACTCATTTTAATTTGTTTTTACAAGCATGCCATACTTTCCTGTAAGAAGAAAATTAAATGAAGTATTGAGCAAACACTCATTCAGCATTAAAAAATACTACTCTCGGAAATTCATTATTGTAAATACTGATTGAAGAACTTAAAAAAAATTCGATTAAAAATTGAATACATAAATCTGTAAAAAAATACTTACGAAAAGTTACTTTTTTCCACAAAAAATAACAGAATGCAGTCAGTTTGTAAAATCTATTCATAAGTCGAACACTCGAAATTAATTTTTTATCTAAACTGTAAACAAAAGGTTTTTTTCTTGGGCAGATATCTGAGCTATATTTTTAAATTTCGTTTAACAAAAAATAAATAATATTATATTTTCTATTAGTTAGTTAGATTAACGGAGGTGTACAGTCCGCAAAAAAAAAAACGAATCACCCTGAATAACTTTCGTTCTAATGATCGGATTTTCACGAACTAAGCGTCAATCTTAATGGTTCCGGGGGGTGACCTCAAATATGCTAATTAATTAGTGCTAACTATTAATTAAGTTACGAAATCAGACACAAAAACGTACTTTCTCTGAATAAACATATATTTTTTTTTACATATTTGGATTACTAACCTTCAAAATATAGGGGGTAGCCGCAATCTGGGAAATATGGTCCCCATAGTTTGGTCAGGAGAGCGATCCAAAGTTCGTACCCCTTAATGTGAATTTCACTTTTTACGTTTTTAGTCATATTTTCAAAACTAATAAAGCAATTTAAAGAAAATTGCACCCACTCATAAAACTCATTTACCCAAAGATAATTTCATGAAAAAAATAATTTTTAATAATTATTAATTAT